GAGCTCAACATGATCGAGACTAACGACTTCCGAGTCCCCGTCCGCGTCTATGCCCCCCCTGGACAGAACATCGAGCATGGCCATTTCTCTCTCAACCTGGCTGCTAAGACCCTGGAGTTCTACGAAAAGGTTTTTGGTATCGAATTCCCGCTGCCAAAGATGGACCAAATCGCTATTCCCGATTTTGCCCAAGGTGCCATGGAGAACTGGGGTCTTGTGACCTACCGCGTCGTCGACCTTCTCTTGGACGAGAAGGTCAGCGGTGCGGCCACAAAGGAGCGGGTTGCAGAGGTTGTCCAGCATGAGCTCGCACATCAATGGTTCGGCAACCTCGTCACCATGGACTGGTGGGATGGCTTGTGGCTCAACGAGGGCTTTGCTACTTGGGCTTCTTGGTACTCCTGCAACGTCTTCTACCCCGAGTGGAAGGTGTGGGAGAGCTATGTCACGGATAACCTCCAGCGCGCTCTCGCCCTGGACTCGCTTCGCAGCAGTCACCCAATTGAAGTTCCTGTCAAGAAGGCTGACGAGATTAACCAAATCTTTGACGCCATTTCTTACTCCAAGGGTTCTTGCGTTCTAAGGATGATCTCGACCTACCTGGGTGAAGACGTCTTCTTGGAGGGTGTGAGACGTTACCTCAAAAAGCACGCCTACAGAAACACGCAAACAGGCGACCTGTGGGCATCGCTTGCTGAAGCAAGCGGCAAGGAGGTCGAGGAGGTCATGCAGGTCTGGACCAAGAACATCGGCTTCCCCGTTGTAACGGTTGAGGAGAAAGATGACAAGACCATTCACCTGAAGCAAAACCGATTCCTGCGCACTGGAGACACCAAACCCGAGGAGGACCAGGTTCTCTATCCCGTTTTCCTTGGTCTCCGCACCAAGGATGGTGTTGATAAGACTTTGACTCTTAGCAACCGCGAGGGTGACTTCGCTGTCCCGAACAACGACTTTTTCAAACTTAACGCAAACCACACTGGTCTATACCGCACATCGTACTCCCCGGAGCGGTTGGGAAAGCTCGGTGTTGCGGCTAAGCAGGGTCTCCTCAGCGTTGAGGATAGAGCCGGTATAATTGCCGATGCCGGTGCGTTGGCTACCTCGGGATATCAAAAGACCTCGGGAGTCCTTAGCCTTCTGAAGGGATTCAACTCGGAGACAGAGTTTGTTGTTTGGAACGAGCTCATCTCCCGGGTTGCATCTGTCCAGGGCGCCTGGATCTTCGAAGACAAGTCGGTTCGCGATGGCCTGGAAGCTTTCCAGCGGGATCTGGTGAGCCACAAGGCACATGAGCTCGGCTGGGAGTTTTCGGAGAACGACGGCCACATTGAGCAGCAATTCAAGGCTATGCTCTTCGGGAATGCCGGTATCTGCGGTGACCAGGCTATTATCACGGCAGCCAAGGAGATGTTTGCCAAGTACATGGCTGGGGATAAGTCGGCTATCCACCCTAACATCCGGGGCAGTGTTTTCAGCATGGCCCTGAAGCACGGCGGAAAGGAAGAGGTATGTTGCAGATTCCTATGTATTGTGGGCCCCTGAAGCTAACCGAAGCGGCAGTATGATGCCATCCTCAACTTCTATCGCACATCGACAAACAGCGACGAGCGCAACACGGCCCTGCGCTGCCTCGGCCGCTCCAAGAATCCTGAGCTCATCCAGAGAACCCTAGGCCTGCTTTTCAGCGGTGAGGTCAAGGATCAGGACATTTATATGCCGACGGCTGGTCTTCGCAGCCACCCCGAAGGCATTGAGGCCCTGTTTGATTTTATGGTAAACAACTGGGATGAACTTGTCAAGAAGCTACCGCCTGCGCTGTCGATGCTCGGAACCATGGTGACAATCTTCACGTCAAGCTTCACCAAGAAGGAGCAGCTTGAGAAGGTGCAGAAGTTCTTTGCGGACAAGAGCACCAATGGCTTTGACCAGTCTCTGGCTCAGAGCTTGGATGCCATCCGCTCCAAGATCTCGTGGCTGGAGCGTGACCGGGCCGATGTGGCTGCCTGGGTCAAGGAGAACGGATATGGTGCGTGAGACGAAAGAGCCACGATCGGATCCAGGATCTGACGAAGTAGCCAGGGCCCCCCAAAGGGAGAGACTCGGCTGGCAGTAGGGCACATCGGCTATAAATGGCGAGAAAATTGCTGGTAGGAAAGAAAGCCTTGAAATGACCCTGGCTTTTGCAAATACCTCGAGCAAGTGTATAGTAGATGGAATGAAATAAAGGGGCACCCGATGCCCCAAAATGACCTAACCATCCTTGGTTTTCTAAGATGATTTTTTATTGCTCTCTTTCGTCAAATAGCGTCGGGGATCACAACCTGAAGTCAAATGGCCAATACTAGTTGGTGAAGTATTCCGCCCGCCTCTCTTGGACGATGCCCCTGCACGTGGCTGGTTTCCGCAACCGCTGAAAGCAACCCTTCTCCGCACTCGCCCCTCCGCCACAGCCAGCAATTAAGTGTAACAGACATGCCAATGACGAACCGCACTCAAGTAAAGCGAAGCCAAGTCAACACCAGCGCAATCCAGTCAGCCGCTCAGGATGGCCAAAGAGAAGAAGGCTAAGGCCGATAGCAAGAAGGCCAAGCTGGCCGAGAAGAAGCAGAAGCAGGAGAAGAAGGCCGAGGAGAAGGCCAAGGTGAAGGCAACCAAGGCTGCCGGCAGCAGCAGCGATGTCGAGGATGTTGATCTGGATGACGTGCTGGAGGAGTACCGCAGGCAGCAGGAGCTATTTCTCAAAGTCACCAAGACCGTCGTCGAGGCCCCCCCCACGTGCTCGAGCCACTGCGTGCTTCCTCGCAAACCCGGCGGACCGGAACCAGCTGTTACTGTTTGGCGGCGAGTATTTCAACGGGGCGCTGGCTACGTTTTCCAATGACTTGATGGTGTACAACATCGACCGGGACGAGTGGCGGGCGGTGACAAGCCCGAACGCGCCGCTACCACGGAGCGGCGCCGCGTGGACCCGGGCAGGTAACCAAGTGGGTTCAGTGTACATATTCGGGGGCGAGTTCAGCTCGCCGAGGCAGGGCACGTTTTACCACTACAATGACTTCTGGCGGCTGGACGCCGGCGGGTCGCCGCGCGAGTGGACTCGCATCGAGGCCAGGGGGAAGACGCCCCCCGCGCGCAGCGGCCACCGCATGACGTACTACAAGAACTACATCGTCCTGTTCGGCGGCTTCCAGGACACGGCCAACCAGACAAAGTACCTCGGCGACCTGTGGCTCTACGACACCCAGACCCTCCTCTGGCACTGCCCGACGCTGCCCCTGGCGCAGCCCGACCCGACCCCCGCTCCTCCTTCACCCTCCTCCCGCACGACGCCGGCGCCGTGCTCTACGGCGGCTTCTCGCGCGTCAAGACGTCCGCCGCCACAGCCATGGGGAAACAGCAGCAGCAGCCACCCAGAGGCAACCCCCGCGGCAATGCCCTCCGCCCCGTGGTCCACCAAGACACCTTCTTCCTGCGCATCGCCGCGCCGCCAGCCGACGCGCCCCCCGGCACGCCCCCGACGGTGCGCTGGGAGCGGTGCAAGCGGCCGGCGAACACGCCGAGCCCGGCGCGCGCGGGTACGACCATGGCGTACCATCGCGGTAGGGGTATCTGGTTTGGCGGGGTGCACGGCGCCGAGGAGATAGAGGAGAACATCAAGAGCGAGTTCTTCAACCAGCTGTTTGCGTAGAACGTGGAGCGGAACAGATTCTTTCCCCTAGGGCTGAGGAGGCGGGCCGCCGGGGCGGCGGTGGGAAGGAAGGCGGGGTCCGGGGGCGACGGGGGGAGGAGCGGGCGGAGGGCCCGGGGGAGGGCGAATGAGGAGGAGCTGCTGAGGCGGCTGGCGGCGTTGGGAAGGGGAGGGGATGTTGACAAGGAGGCGGAGGAGGAGGAAGAGGAGGAAGAGGGCAAGATAGGGAGGGAGATGCCTGTATCGATGGAGTTGCCGCATCTGCGGTTCAACGCGCATTTGGCGGTGCAGGGTGATGTGCTTTATATCTATGGGGGTACATTTGAAAAGGGGGATAGGGAGTGTACCTTTGATGATATGTATGCCATTGATTTGGGAAGGTTGGACGGGTGCAAGGAGATTTTCAGCAGACCGGCTGAGGACTGGGTTGTGAGTCAATCGATCGGTTCTGAGTATTGATTGCTAACATTTTGGGTTAGGTTTCCGAGGATGAAGATGACGATGAAGATGACGATGAAGATGAAGACGAGGGGGAAGCTGAAGACGACGAAGACGAAGATGGCGACATTGAGATGGCGGACGAGGTGCCTAAGCAGCTGTTTACGCCGACCAAGAGAAAGAAGAAGCAAGGGCCCGCAAATGAAGCTGCGAGTGCCGAAGCAGCTCTAACAAACCCACCAAGTACCACATTGGAGGAGGTTGAGACAGAGTCTGGGAGTGTGGCTGTGGAGGATGGGCTTCCGCATCCGAGGGTAATCGCCCTCTTTGTATTACCATTTGATGTGAGGTCACCGAGCTAACAATTCCATAGCCTTTTGAGTCCCGTCGTGACTTCTTCCAGCGCACATCGAACGAGTGGCAAGAGGCTCTCATGACGAGTCTCCGGTGGAAGGGGATCCAACCGGAGGCGCTGACGGTCAAGGAGATCAAGGCTAAGGCATTTGAGTTGAGCGAGGAGAAGTGGTGGGACAGCAGAGAGGAGATCACGGCACTGGAGGATGAGCAGGAGGCTGCCGGCATTGGCGAGGAGTGTCGCTCACGGATAGGGGCGAGACGGGGCGGCTGGTGGAGGTGGGCCGAGGAGGAGATAAGTGATCCCCTTGGCATATCCCCTATCTATCTACTTGAGTAGTTTGACCTGCCCACCAACCCTTGTTTGTGACATTGAACCTCGGGGCGGAGAGGGAGATCCATCCGCCTTACAAAGCCCAGCTATAAAGTTCAATGAGGGTTTGTCTCGCACGCTTAACCCTTTTTTCCAGAATTCAGGAAGGGATGTTTGAGGTCTTGGTGGAGCAGCAAAAAGAATCGATCGAGCTGGGATTCGAACCCAGAGCCTTTACCAACTATTGATATTCAGAACACCGGAAAGTAACGCGCTACCATTGCGCCACCCGACCAATATGGCAATTGGTGGAAGATTGCTTCGCGAACGCAGCCGTTCAGCGAGGGCTGGTGTTCGTCAACCTCATGTATTTTCGACCAGCGCTGGGAAAGGGGGAGTTGCTGCAGCCGAGGAGCAGCGGTTTCAGGGGCTGATGGGAAGGGGCACACAGCCACCGAATTAACCACGGAAGGTGCAACCGCATGCGCCGCTCCAACCCGTGACCCTAACCCTTCCTCCAAGAAATGGCTGCGAGCGAGTCTGAGAAGTGAAGAGGTGTGATAGAAATCGATGAGCATGTGCAAGGAGTTTGAGAAGAAAAATGAATTGAAAAGTAATGGCAACATCAACCATGCAAAACCATAGCAGACTTGGGGACAAACCGCGACATAACTTCCACGTGACTTGGCGTGTCCCGTACAGAGCCCCTCGGCGCGAATTTGTTCTTGACGCGTGGCGGGGCTCCTTTCACCTTACAGCTACCTCTCGACAGCCATTGCTTCACCATTTGATTTCCAGACCAAATTCTGGTCAAGTTGTACTCTCTCCTGCTGTACATCCGGGAATGATTCAATCGCAAACAAAATGCCCCTCGGGATCCAGCGCATCAACGTAAAAAAGTCGCAGCCCAATGACCGCATCGTCTTCATCAAGCCGCTCAAGGGCCCCGATGAGGATATTGCCCGCGATTTCCTCGAGAAGATCGCAGCGCAATGCTGTGAGTGTGCCACTCGGGACCTCTTCTCGGAGCTGAGTTGAATATTGACTGAACGCCTAGTGCCGATTATGAGGGACGACCACCTCGCGGTCATGTCTCTCGAGGAGTTTCCATTCAACAACGAATTCGTGGGCCGTAATTTCAACGCCGGCGAAGTGGTCCAGCTCGTCCTCAAAGCTCGCTCGGGCCACTGGTTGCCCTTCAACTACGTTCAAATGGTCATGATGCACGAGTTCGTTCCCCGCTCCCTCCCCCCTCAACACCCCGAGCTAACACACCCTGGACTCGCCCACTGCACGCAAATGAACCACTCGCGCGCCTTCTGGGCCGTCCGCAACCAGTACGCCGACCAGATGCGCGTCCTCTGGGCCCGCGGCTTCACGGGCGAGGGGCTCTGGGGCCGCGGCGCGCACCTGGCAACCGGCCTGTTCCTGGACAACGCCGTGCAGCCGGGAGAGCAGCTGCCTGAGCACCTCTGCGGCGGGACCTATAAATCCCGGAGGAAGCGGAGGCCGAAGAAGGAGGCGCTCTCGTACCGCGAGCAGAAGGAGCGGCGGATCCTCAAGAAGTTCGGGGTTCACGGCGTGGCCCTTGGCGAGGATGCCGAGACCAAGAAGAAGCTCGAGAAGGGGCGCAAGATTGCGGCCAAGCCGCGCGTCGCGGGGAGTGCGAGGGGGAGGGAACTCAGGGCGGCGGCGGCGCTGGCGAGGTTTGACCAGATGAAGGAGGGGGTGAAGGAGGAGGGTGCGGGAAGTGAGGATGAGAGTGGGAGCAGTGGGGAAGATTACGACGATGTCAAGGGCGATTCAAGCGCTGACGCCCTTGACATTGACGGAAAGAGGATGTTGGATGCTAAGGGGAGGGGTATGATCAAGATTTGCGAGGATGAGAATCCCGGAGATCAGGATGCGCAGAGGGAACTCTTGGAATTACAGGGGTTCAGCTCGACGCCGGTGAAAGTCAAAGTCGAGAATGAAGAGGCGATACCGGCGGCGATTACGAACAAGGGGTCGGCCACCATCCCGAATATGAAATTGGAAGGAGGGGAACAGGGCAGACAACTAGAGCTTCCTGATCGCAAAATCGCGAAGAGATCCACAACGCCGAGAAACCGGTTGGCGCTCATGGGGAGTTCCAAGTCGACGAGAGCGAAAGACTCGCCGACAACATCACTTAAACAGAAAGTTCCTGGGCCCGATAGCGCTGGCAGCAACGTATGCTCGGTGTGTTCCTTCACCAACGAAGGACTGGCTCCTACTTGCCCCATGTGCGCCAATGTTCTGAACACCAAGATCATGCCGAAAGCTTGGGCGTGTACCAGCCAGGCATGCCGAGGAAGCAGCTATCGCAACGCTGACGACTGCGGCGTTTGCGGCGTGTGCGGGGAGCGCAGGGGAGGGCAGGTTTGAGATAGACTACGAATATACAGGTGGACAGGGTCTACATAATGTGTGGTATTCTTTTGGGTGTTGGAAACGATTCCACGTGGGATCAACGGCTGTTCAAAGTGGTTGTTTGCTTGACCTTCCTGCAGTAGGCACACCAGATAGAGTGCTGATCCTGGTCGTTGGGTTGATCTGTCAGAGTTCCAGGGATAAGTGGCTTTGGTTTGGTGCCGTAATCGAGTAGGCAGCCCTTGATGCTACCATAAACCAGCTGCCACGGCGTCCATATAAGCTCCAGTTCAGGGAATTGGGACTTTGGTCTGAAGTGAGAAATGAAAGCGTTTGCTCAGGGTCACGTGAGAAGCCAGGGGTGAGTGCGGGAAACGGGTAGATCCCATCAACAACTAGTTATTATGTACCTGCAGTAATCGAGCGGGCAGGTGTCCAGTCAAAGGCAGCCCTAGGTGGAAGAATCGCAGCACCTTGTGGTGATGGTGGACGCAGCCGTCAGGAGTCGCTCCACCTGGAAGACCTAGCCCCGCGGCCTCCTCAGCCCCTCCAAAAAGGTACCCACAGCGGATTGCTTGTTCGGTGCTTGTCTCTGCCCGCTGACAGGGGTTTGCGAGTGCACGGTGGATCCCATTGGCCAATGACCAGCGGCGTGCGCGCTGAGTTGTGAGCCTCGACCAAGGCTCGCCTGTGTTTCATCCCCTCACCACTCTCACCTCTGTTGGTCCAAAGACGCCACCATGGGCCAGGCAGGTCCCAGGAGAGCACCCCGAAACCTGGCTCTTCCGCTGATGCCCAGCAAAGATCCGCCCGATCTGCTCTATGCCTCGCGCGGCCCGGGAGTGCTGCGTTTCTGGAACAGCCTCCAGCGTCGTCCCATTGGCGATGGCCAAGTTGGCGCCGCGCGCTGGGGTGCCCACCGTGGCGGGCTGTCGCAGAAGAGCAGGCCCTCGCAGGAAAACACCAGCTGCCCGGCTTGCATGCAGATCGACCATGCAGCCAACCCCCCCCCCCCCCCCCCCCTGACTGACTGGGTAGGCTGGGACAGGCAGGCCGGGAGTAAAGCTTCAAGATCCTGTAGAAAACCGCTTGTCCCTCTCCTCCATTTCCACCTGTTTGCTTTGTTCCCGAACAAACGGGAATCTCGATTCCCATTTGTGTGTCCCTTTCCATTTCTTGCGGCTGGTCTCGAGATCTGTGGTATTGCGGGCTTCGTTTTGTTTTCTTTTCAGTTACGCCTTTCCCTCGTTTCGCTGTGCGACTTGACGACTGTTTCTCCCGTACCCCGACCGTTCTTTATATACCCGACGAGCTGGACTGTCCTCTTGATTACGACGGCCCTTAGGAAGTTTTGAGAAGAAACACGATACAGACACTGAAGATGTTCTCCTCACCCGCCGCCCTCCTCCACCTCCTCGTCACCCTGACCCTCACAACCCTCTGCCTCGCGGCCCCCTACCACATGCAGCAACGAGTAATCGTGCCCTACTCCCATTACGAGGTCCTCAAGATGCGCGCCTCCACCTCTGTAAACCCCCGCGCCATCACCGACACAACCTGTATCGACCCGAAAGCGTCCGTTCCCCCTCCCCCTTTCCTCTGACTCCACACTGAACCTCCCGCTCTAGCCACATCGTCTTCCACGACCAAAACGTCGCCGAGCTCGCCATCTGCGGCGGCATCGCCGGCGCCATCACCAAGTGCAGCGGCCCCCCTGTGTCCGCGACCGTCGGCCGCTCGGGCAGCGCCTTGTTCAGCCTCATGACCCTGCAAGAGGGCGCCACCATCACGCTGTCCAAGCAGCGCTGGGAGCAATGTGTGCGCGCGGCGAGGGCGGTCTGTCCTACGGGTAGCCTGGCTGCGACGTGTCGTGGGGGCGCGAGTAGCGGAGACGTGGCATTTAGTTTGACGGCGGGGCCTTGAGACCTATGGGAAGAGTATTGTTTTGTGTGGATTGTTGGGTAGATTGAGGTGTGCCTTGCAACATGGGTTTAATGGTGCATGGGTGCCCTCGAGGACCACAGAGCTACGAGACCCGCGTTAGAACTCAGCATGAGGCTTAGGGATAGAAGAAGAAAAAAATAAACAATACGCTGGTATCCGTCATGTATGAACTTGACACAGCCGTGGCCATATTTGATACATGGAAGTTGGTCCCGAAACAAAACAGTTCTTCAAGAGGCCTGCACCCCTTAGGTATGTCTCACTCAAGAAGCGAAGGGCAGACGGGCCGTCAGGGTCACGACCAGCCCGGCCAGCCTACCTACCTAGGTACGTTTGGTATGGACCTCTGTTCTAAAAGTTCAATCATAATAATTCAAACTACAACTTGTAGTTACTGCTCCTAGCTAATATGCAACCCATTACTCCTACTGAACCCGGGTATCAAAATGCCAAAACCTTCAACCACCATGCACAACCCCCCTCCCAAAAGCCCCTTCAAAGCCCATACCGCGTAACACACTCCTCACGATGCGCCTCGAGACAATCCAGCGCGCACGCCCGCGCCCCGCACTTGACGCACCGCACCTTGCCCCAGTGCCCGCAGACCTCGCAGAAGGCGCGGGCCGGGTACCGCTGCTCGTCGTCGCCCCAGCGCGCGCGCGCCTCGAGGTAGCTGAGCGGGGGCGCGGTCATGAGCGCGTGCAGCTCGTCGTCGGTCGGGAACGCCGGCACATGCGAGACGAGCAGCGGGTCGGCGTCGCCGGCGTGCGGCGCCGGGGGCGGTTTCGCGTAGGCCGCCAGGATGGTGCCGTCTGCGGGGTAGGCTTGCGGGAGGAGGGACGAGGCGTCGGCCATTTCGACGTCGGGCGGCGCGGTGGGGGGGCAGTTGTTGTCGCTGCTGTTGTTGTTGTTATCGTCCGGTGCCGCGGTGGATTTGCGTTCTGCCTCGGCGGCCGCTGC